GTTGCCAGTCCAGATGAAAGCTTTGCTTGAGGCAGCCAGGCTGAGTACTAGGGCAGGTGGAAGGCAACTGGCCCTGCCTGGGCTGCCCCTTCTGCGGAAGTGAATGGCACCTGCAGAGTGGACCGGAAACATGAAACTTAAAAGTGCTTTCTTTGCCTATGGGAAGGTGACAGGCCCTTTCACAGGAAGAGCAGAAGACAGATACTTGAGGGGTGCAGGTGGAAGAGGCAGCTCTGCCCCACCCATTCTCTCCAGGAACTTCTTATCTCTCTCAGTACTGCTGCCCTTAATTAATCTCTTCATTTAATTAATCTGTCCTTTAGTTGTGTTCCGAAGATTGAGAAACTACTGAGGCTTCTTATTATACCAAACTGAATTCCATAGAATGTGTTAAAGATTTTTCACCAGTTTTGCTTATTTGTCTAAATATTCTCCATCTCTTTCTTACCACAAACCTTGTCCTGTCTCCCCCACTGACTTGCTCCAGTTTTCCAGTATTTACTCATGTGTTTTACATCTGCTTAACAATTCTTCCTCTCTCTGCTGATTCTTTCTTTGAAACTCCTGCTCAAAACTCACCCTCTCTAGAGCAGTGCCTCTCAAACTTTTATCTGCAGAGGAGTCATTGCTTAACATGTGGATCCTGATTCAGTAGTTCTAGGGAGGGGCCTTGAGATCCTGCGTTTCTAACAAGTTTCCAGGTGATTCCCAGACTGCTGGCCTATGGACCATGCTCTCGAGCAGGTGCTCTCGAGCGGTGCTGGCAAACTTTTTTTTCTGTAAGGGCCAGATAGTAAATATTTCAAGCTTTGTGGGCCATATGGTCTCTGTCACAACTATTCAGCTCTGTCCTTATAGTGCAAAAGCAGCCATAGACAGTACACGAGTGAATGGGCATGGCTGTATTTTAATAAAACTTTATTTACAGAAACAGGTGGCAGGTCGTAGTTTGCTGACCCTTGTTCTAGGGCACAGACCATGGAATCAGACTGTTACCAAAATTTAGCTCTACCACTTGTTAACTCTGTTTTCACATCTGTAGAATAGGGATAATAATACTAACTACTTCACTGTCTTGTGAAGATTAGGTAAGAATTAAAGCTCCATGAAGGCAGGAGTTTTGTTTAGTATTATATCCTTGGTCCTAGAATAGTATCTGGCCCATAACCAAAACCAAACCTGTTGCCGTTGAGTCGATTCTGACCCATAGCGCCCTATAGGACAGAGTAGAACTGCCCTATGGGGTTTCCAAGGAGCACCTGATGGATTCAAACTGCCAACCTTTTGGTTAGCAGCTGAACTCTT